GATTGCGAGATCGCCCATTAAAGTAACTACGGCAAGTTGAGAGAAATGAACTGAGACGGTACTGAACAATAGATGGCAGTATTAAAATTATCTATGTAAACAAACCTCATCACTTGAGAAGGTACAGTAGGTGATGCGGACGTCGTGGAAGACATTTTGTCCCGTAACGCTCGCCGTACTGTTGGGGGGGAGAAGCGGTGGGGGGGAGATGTTCATGTTGCCGCGGTCTGCAGTCTGGACGTTAGATGTCGCTGAAAATTACACACTGTAGCTTTAAGCCTTTGATGTTTGTTGCTTTCTCCTTAGTTTTTAGTCTTTGATCAAGGGTGTATACTGTATAAAAACTGTGTATCCATCAGCAGAATCTGCTTAGTATCCTTATAAAATCAGTATCCTTATAAAACTGTCGGGGTGTAGGCGTGATCTCCAGCTGTTGGGGTAACACACAGGACTGACAGATGGTCTCACAATAACACCTAAATCTAAAATGACTAATGACTAACCTGATTTGAAGAGAAGGGTTGTTGGTTTAATGTTTTTTGCTGTTTAAGGTGGGGGTAAAAGAAAACCATATGTTTTTCTACCACTTCCATTGTTCATATTTTTTATGTTTATTGTTCTTTGTAAACAGTCAAACCTATTTTCCTGCTGTTTCTCTCTGTATGTTTTCCAACTAGTATAATTCCCACACTGGTATATGTGTGTCAGTGTTTTTTTGCACGTAGTTCCTTCCCACACATAAGCATTCTGTACCTGAAACCATAGCATGTCTTACAGGAATAGCTCATTGTTTTCAAAGATGATGAACATCTCAAGCATTCAAGGAATATGAAGAAATGAGAGGGAGCTGCTGGATCCTGTCTAACGATGCAGCATGTATTAAATGAAAAATAACTATTCAGTTAAAATTAATACTGCTGACACCATGCTTTATATGAAAATATAAACTTTGTTTAAAAGTGGGTAGTAATGAACTGTATTATCTCTTACAGGAGTAGCTCATTGTTTTCAGAGATGATGAACATCCCAAGCCTTTATTATTTCTATGCATCTATAGGTAAATGCGCAGCACTTATATAGCACCTTTTTCAAGTCAGTGGGCTCCTAAGTTCTCTACACAGCAGTGAGTCATCCATTCACACACACTCACATTCTGATTGAGGCAAACTTCACTTTAGCCAGGGGGCTATAGCAAACCTCAGAGAGAAATGAGAACGCAGAAATAAAAACTGTCCAAAGGCAGAGTATGATTAAAATGAAAGATAACTATTCAAATAAAACTGATACTCCTGAACCAAGCTAAGAACATTTTAATGTCACTGTCTGTTGTGGCAAAAAGAAATTTTTTAAATGATTAACGACCTCCTGAAATACAATTAGAATCAATCAGTGGATTTAAAGGCAATTTGATTAGTTTGTATTAAATGAGGAGAATTTTTAGGGTCAAAGTTAAAAATATCTACATATATTCTATGAAACAAAGAAATGTTGTAGAAAGCAAAAGGTTACTCAATAACTTTATCTTATACAGTAAATTTTTAATACAGCAGGTAAAATAATTATTAAACACACCACAATCTCTTCTCTCAGCAAAGATATTTTTAGAGTTGCTACTGACACATTTTCACCAGATATCGGTAACAATCCATGCACTACACAAAGAAATCAAACCATAGATGTCCAGAAATTAATTTATTTGTAATAAAGTGAAATGGAACAGCAAATAGGTACAAGGATGGCCTATAAAAAGCTGTCTGGTATCACACAAGATAGATCTCACAATGGGTAAAAGTAAAGAGCTTTCTCAAGACCTTTGCAAACCTTATTTCACCTGCTGTATGTTAATAAATATCATGTTAACAACCTGTTTGTCTTAAACTACAAACCAATTCATAAACAGTAGAGTACAGTATACTAGTTTAGGAGTTGGAATGTAGCAGAGCAGGATGCTCTGTGGGCGTAATAACAAGCTGTATGCAGGCTATTTACTGTAAACCTGCACCTAAGGGCTGGAAGAAACTAACAGTGATGGCCTTCAACCATCTGATCTGTGTGGCGGCTGTACTGGCTCTGCTGATGAAAGGTAAGAATACCTGCAGATAAAGAAAATTAACTGTCTTCTGCCATGGTTTGCTAGAATGTTTTTTCATTTGTAATTTTTTTCTCTAATCTAGTTTGATTATATTATATTCTGAATGTAGGTGTAGTTAATTTTCATCTGTATAAATAGAACCAACCAAAGTTGCTGTTGGAAAAGAGAGTCATCTGAACAGGAATTTTCGATACTAAACTGGTGTAAACTTATAAGCGATAATCTACCCTCTTTACATGTTTTAAAATACAATATATTCTGCTCATTGAATCCACCTGCAGGAGACTAAAAATGACCTTTGTATAATTAAGAATATATGGAATGTTTTCCTGTTAGACACGTTTTCTCCATAGAAAACAGGACAAAAAAGGAAAACATTAACAACTTTTTTCAATAGAAAGAAGCAGGAACTATGAGAGAGACATAGTCAAAGACATTCTACGTGCCTTTTCATCTGGGTCTTTATCACAGAATAAACAGTAACCAACTTAATATTTATTCTGGTTATATGGAAGAAATACAATAAGGTTTTGCATCATATCTTGTGATCTGGAAGTAATAAAATTCCCAAAGCTAGAAAAAAGCCCTTTGCTCTTGGCATCAGCGTTAATTTTGTCAGCTTTTTTTATAATTTAGTCTTAGTCTTAGTCACAATGACAAAAAAATCTATTTTAGTCTTAGTCATATTTAGTCATTTTTGTCAACACTGTAAATAATGCAACTTCTCCACACACTGCTTTATTTAACATATATATATCACACTGTACAGAATAAAAAATCTTCACACAAACTGCTTCTCTTTTTCTCTATTTTATTTATATAACACTGTAGGAATAGAACTTGACACACTGATTCTCTTTTTAACATATATAACACTGTACACATTGAACCTTTTGTTGGCTTGTTTCATCATATCCACAAAGTCTTTATCCTCAAACAGACTTCCCTTCCTTCCCCAACCTCTGATTTGGCTGTGGTTTCACTGTGTCAGGAATCTAGTTGAGAGGAAGAAATTTAAACGATTAGTGTATCAGTAGAACGTCTTTCTTCTATGACAGAAAGACAGACAGATACAGGCACAGGAAGGCACACACACACAGCCACGTGCATGCGCGCCCGCGCACACACACACGCATCCACATGCATCCACAGACACACCCGTTCCTTACCTTCTTTCATATGGCAGCATCTTGGCACCTCAGCTGTCGCGTGAGATTCGGTGTCCTTGCTCCAGTGTTTTCCTTCACGTTGTAAACGAAATGGCTCCATACATCCAGGCATTGTTTTCGCCCAGCTCCTCTAATAAACCGTACACCAGTATCACAGCCCCACGCAATGACTACTCTGCTAGTAGTGACTGAGCGGCGCGAAGCACTGTGGGACATGCGCCATGTAGGGGCAAACAGGACAACAACACGTAATCTTCTATGAAGCTCAACAAACACTTATATTAACAATTACAAATTCATGATAAACAATTACATTTCTTAACTTCCATTCGTCCATGGTGCGTAAATTTAATCTATTTTCGTCATATTTTTATTTTCTGGAGTCAATTTTTGTGCGTTATCGTCTCGTCATCTTCAAGGGAAAAAGGGGCGTTGACAAAATATTTTCGTCATCGTCCTAGTTGACGAAATGAGCACTGCTTGGCAATGGTGTTTATCAGCCACATATAGTTTATTAAGTAGTAAGGGCAGAGTCGGCCGTGCAATTAGCTGCTGAGTGGATCAGGGTGGAGCTCAGGTGTAGATAAGGGCCTGAGCATGTGGAGCGCAAAGTTGGATTACTGAGAAGAGCTGGCAGAGCAGAGTTTGCCAGAGTTGATTGCGCTTCAGACAGGTACTGAATGAGTGTGTGAGACTTAACAATGGCACATTCTTCTCAACATGTTGGTAAATGTGTGCTGTTTTGTGTCAACAAGCACACACAAAATAGCCAGCAGCTCTTCCCGTAACTGCGTACCAACACCGAAATTCCACATCCTCCGTAACCGTTCTTCCACGCTGCGCTCCAGACCTCCTGTGCAAAGCAAAGCCTACAGCCTCCACGTTTCCTCCTGTCCTGCTTTGCTCCGACTTCCCTGGAGCTCGAGGAGAGCATGCACGTTATTATTATTATTATTATTAAAGTTGTAGGAGCATAACATTTGGAAATGAATGCTTAATTTATTATGACATAATTAAAACTCATCATCAGCACCCGTCACCCACATGTTCCTGCCCAAACATTTCTTTTCATTGCATGTCTTTAAAATAGGGATTACTAGGATCATACAAAATTGGTTTGTTCTTTACTTCCAAACTCAGCATCTTTTTATCTGCAATAAGAAGTTGTGAGATGCGTTCTTGGATGTTGTTGTGATTGGATTTGATGAACCTGCACATATGCTGGATGATGATGGGTATTTTTCTATATGTCACATAAAGTGAAGCGTTCATTTCTGCATGTCTTTGCTCCTATAATAATATAGCGCATGCTCTCCTCGAGCTCCAAGAAATTCAGAGCAGAGCAAGATGGGAGGAACAGCGGAGGCTGTAGGCCAGTCATCCCCATAAGTCAATCCTTGAGGGCCGCTGTCCTGCAGATTTTAGAGGTTTCCCTGCTTTATCACAGCTGATTATGATGATTGCAGTTCAGCAAAAGTCTCTTAATCAGCTTTCAATTAAAATCAAGCAAGGAAACCTCTAAAACCTGCAGGGCAGCCGCCCTCGATGACCAACTTTGGGGGTGCCTGCTGTAGGCTTTGCTTTGCGTAGTGATGGAGGTTGTGGGATTTCGGGGTTACATGGACTGTGAAGTACAGAGGAGTAGCAGTGCATGTGGAACAGTTCTCATTGATTAACATGACTTCACAAGTGCTCGACGTGAGCGGAGCGGGGAGGTGACACAGGATTTGGATTAGGGGGGAATCTTTTACTGGTACACAGTACTGGACTGTTCCAACTTACTTTCACGCCTGTTAGAAAGTAACACAAAATATGCAAGTAACTGCTGCACCATCATTTTGAAGGAATCATGGCTGCATTCAGCAATACCGGACAATGCTATTAACCTGGAGGGGCTCATGAGGGGCTCATGGGAGGCTCATGCTGTCTCGCGCCGATAGGAACAAAGAACTAAGCGGTAAGGCTTGGGGTGGTGGGCTGTGTGTTTACATCAACAACAGCTGGTGTAAAAATGCTAGATCGGTTGCCAGCTTCTGCTCTCCAAAAATCGAGTTTCTGACTGTTAACTTCAGATCGTTCTATCGGCCCAGAGAGTTTAGTGTGGTTAGCATCACTGCTGTTTATGTGCCCCCCAGCGCTAACACAAAACAAGCCATGAAGACTCTATACCAGGCTATCTCTGAGCTCCAATCTGCATACAGAGGGTGTTTTCATCATTGCTGGGGATTTTAACCAGGCTAACTTGAAGACTGTTCTCCCTCTTTTTAATAACATGTAGACTTTGCAACTTGGGGTGAAAATACTTTAGACCTGGTATACTCTAACATCAAAGATGCATTCAGAGCAGCCCCCTGCGCACACCTCGGGTTATCAGATCATCTCTCAGTCATGCTTATACCTGCATATAAGCCCCAGCTGATCAGGGCTAAACCGACAGTTAAAGAGATCAGAGTGTGGTCTTAGGGCGCCATGGAGACACTCCAAGCTGTTTTGAATGCTCTGACTGGAACATCTTCATGGCTGCAGCAACATATGACAACTTATTAAATGTTGATGAGTATGCCATGACTTTGTCAGCCTACATTAACAAATACATTGAGGACATCAGCATTAAAAAGAACATCACCACCCAGGCCAACCAACCACCCAAATGGAGAGGTTCGGAAATCGCTAAAAGTACGGAACTCAGCTTTCAAGTCTGGTGATAAGAAGGCACTGAGAACAGCGCATGCCAACTTAAACCGTGCCATCAGATCAGCACAGCAGAACCAAAGCCAGAACATCCAGGATAGGGTTAGGGTTTTCCACAACGACAGCAACACCAGGAGGATGTGGAAAGGTTTTCGAATGATCACGAACTACAACACACCCTCCCCCCGGTAGATGCAGCAAACACTGGCTTCCTAAATGAACTGAACAAATTCTTTGGAAGGTTTGAGTTCCTAAACAGCCTCCAGCAGTGAAAGCTGTTCCACACCACGGGGAGGAACCACTAAACCTGGCTGTAGCTGAAGTGAGGACAACTCTAAGGAGAGTCAACCCAAGGAAGGCCCCAGGGCCTGATAACATACCTGGGGGGTATATAAGGAGTGTGCAGATAAAGCTGGCTGGTGTCCTCACAGACATCACACCCCCCTGGACCAATCCATAGTGCCAGCATGCTATAAGTCTGCCACCATTATTCCGGTCCCAAAGCAGCCTCGGGCCACCTCACTAAATGATTACCAGCCTGTCGCACTGACTCAAATCATGATGAATTGCTTCGAAAGGCTGGTTAAAGAACACATCATCTCCAGTCTGCCACGAACATTCGACCCGTTCCAGTTCGCCAACTGACGCAACCGCTCCACTGAGGACACCATCTCTGCTGCTCTCCAACTGAGCCTGGCACACCTGGAGGAGAAGAACACCCACGTGCGGATGCTGTTCCTGAACTTCTGTTTAGCTTTCAACACCATCAACCCACAGCATCTGATGGGCAAATTGAAACAGCTGGGATTCAATACAACACTTCGAAATTGGCTGCTAGACTTCCTCACCAACAGACCTCAGTCAGTCCGGGTCGGACAAAACACCTCTGATGTCATCATCCTATGCACAGGCTCCCCTCAGGGCTGCGTCCTGAGCCCTCTGCTGTTCATCTTAGCAGCAGCATCATTACTGATAACCCTGACATTGAGGTTCATCAGCAGTAGCACACAGAGGCAGGAGAAATCAGAGTGTCAAACAAGGGGATCCTCCCTTCAAGTGGATATCACATTTAAATGTTCATCTGCTCAGAGCACAAGATTGTACCTTGAATTGTTTCTGCTTTCCCAAAAC